AACAAGTGAGAAGTTGTGATAGGGCGGCAGTGGGATAAGAGGGTAAAAAGTAGATAGATAGACAATGACAGAAAGAGGAGTGATAGTGTAACCCTTTTCGTCAGAATGTTTGTCTGGGGGTTGACTTCACTTGTATCTTTGATGAGTTCGTATCTTGGTGCGGAGAATGGCAAAGCTCACTGATGATGCCGACTACGATGCCGGCGAAACGTTAGAGAATGTACCAAGTCCATTGTCGGATACTGGAAATCATGACAACTACTATGGCAGACGACTTCGGACTAGGTGCGTTCTACAAAGTCTCCCTGAAAACAAGACCGAGTTGCGACAACGAGGTCAACTCACTTCCAAAAATGTTGTAGTTTACTTGTTTTGATTGAGCTCACTGAAGACGCCTTCTCTTGGCTCCTGATTGTTTCCTTATAGCCCCCTTGCGATTTCTTTTCCTAAAATTTAAGAGGTTACTTTAATCCAGTCGTCTTCTTTTTGCTGATCTTAATGATGCAAATGTGTAAATGTACAAGTTGGAATGAGAATTCAAGAAGTCAACATTGCAACCAAGAGTGCTTATGCAATACTTGAAGGACTACTTTGCACATTGAACCCATGGAAAGTAAAATGTGAATATATTCCTCAATTGCATTAATCAACTTGATGAAATAATTAAATTGACAATGGAAGTGGAAAATAATAATCGACTACCCTTTATGGATAGTGAAGTCATGCGCTCTAACGGGACACTCATGAGGAGACTATACAAAAAGAATTCATACGAGGAAAAATCCTTAATTTTAGGCTTCACCATAACTACGGAATGAAGATTGGAATACTTTAGAGTTTGATCATCAATAGCTTACGACTAACAGACACTGAGTTCTGGGACAGGGATTTGCCTTAGTAAGGGGAAATTTCTAGAAGAAAATGTAGAGTTTATAGAAGGCAGATTTAAACTAGGATTTTATGAAAATCAGATCAGAAATCAGGGCGTCCAGAAGTGGATTTGCCTGCGCTGAGCCAAAAATTGCGACAGTTACAAAGGAAATGGAACAATAAGGTGATAACAAAAGGGAAGACAGGACCCTTCACCAGTCTGCCGACGCAACACAAGAAAACTGACAAAACTTGATTGCTCGAAAGTTTATCGCATCGAATGCGGCAACTGTAAGCAGAAGTATGTTGGTGAGACAGGAAGAAAAATTGGCCTACAAATCAAGGAACATCAAAGAATCTGCAAGTACATGAATATTGAAAGATCCGAAATAGCTGAACACATTGCACGAACGGGACACGAAATCGACAGAAAGTTTGGCTGCGTGTGGTGAAAATGCGAAAAAACGCAAGATCCGAGAGGCCATCGAAATACTGACCGAGAGAAATCTAATGAACAGGAGACTTGAAGAGTGCCTATTGACTAGGAGAAGACCAGGCAACAGTGAGATCAGCAAAAAGAAGACGACTGGATCAAGGTGACATCCTTCATTTTCGGAAAAGAAATCGCAAGGGAACCAG